CCTGCCGCCATTCTAAAAACCTTTTCCAAACAATGTTTTCAGTGTAAGCAGAAATAACGTCGAAAATTGGTCTGTTAAAACCAATAAAGATGCCATAAACACGTTTTAGACATTGCCCACTTGGGAGTCCATTCTCATGTTCTTCACTGGTCTATCTGTGACTTTGAGTGTGCGTGGCTTTAAAAGGCGGGGCCTGGTCTGGTAAGTGATGTGGGCGTCAGCCGAGGAGGGTGTTGTGAATCCGCTAGCCACTCTGCCTGCCCTTCTTGTTTCATTTTTGTCAAACTGTACAAACGAATGAGACCTTTTTTAGTCACAAAAAGTCTGCCAGTGTCGCATCAGACGGTTCATATTTGTGGCGAAATCCATTTCCTGTCCTTCCCCAGCCGAGGAGCGAGTTGGCCTGCCGAAGGAGCAGGGTCGCCTGTACCTCAACAAGGTCTTCCACATGAGCGCCAGCCGAATGTTCGACCTGCTCTTCACCGAGTCCGCCTTCATCCGCCGCTTCATGACCGTGCGCAAGATAACCAGTGAGTGCTCTTCTCCTCGCCGCGCTCACCGGGCGGATTTTGTGTCCCCGCCTGGCAAAATCGGTGTCATGTCCAGATCCGAGCTTTGTGGCGTGGCAAAAAGACCCAAGCGGAGACATGAAGAGGAGCTTGAACTACACCATAACCATCAGTAACCCTCTGATTGGAAAATTCTCCACGGCAACGGAGTACCAGGTACGTTTTTTTTTTTCAAAGCCAGAAATAGATTCTTTTTTTTTTTGTCCCAGCCTTTGAAGCCGAACGATTCTGTCCACTTGTCAGACGCTGTACAAAGAGTCTCTGGAGGGCCAGTCTTATCTGGTGGACTCGGAGGTGTACACCCACGACGTGCCCTACCACGACTACTTCTACACGCAGAATCGCTACTACATCAAAAGTCACACCAAGCGCAAGTGTCGACTCAAGTAAGATTTTTTTTAAAGAGCAAGCTTCCAGATCTGCGTGGGTCACCGTAAGACATTTTAAAACACCTCATGTGTGTCTTCTGCTGCTAGGGTGTATACGGATGTCAAGTACAAGAAGCAGCCGTGGGGCCTGGTCAAGTCTTTCATCACCAAGAACTCCTGGAGCGGCATTGAAGATTATTTCAGACAGCTGGGTGAGTCAAACCCGCATTATATTTACCGTATTTTCCGGATTATAAATCGCTCCGGAATATACCAGCTATAAAATGCATAATAAAGAAGAAAAAAATAACATATATAAGTCACACTGGAGCATAAGTCGCATTTTGGGGGGAAATTTATTTGATAGAATCCCAACACCAAGAACAAACATGTCATCTTGAAATGCAATTTAAAGTCAAAATAAAATAGAGAACATCAAGGCTAAATAAGTGCACGATATGCTAACATTACATGACGCATAAACAACGAATGGAGAACGTGCCTGGTATGTTCACATAACATATTGAGAGTTATTCAGTGTCACTCCAAATCAGTAAATCCAATTAAATCTTTGTCTGTGTCACTTTTAAACCACCAACTCCAGAGGTAGAAGATGTAGCGCTTCCTCTTCTACGTCGCTTACTATCGACTCATAGTTGACTTATCAACACAGGCCTAGAGGGCCCTCTCGTGGTTTAATGTGAAAATAACATGTGAAATGACATAATGATGTGTTAATAATTTCACACACAAGTCGTTCCAAACTATAAAACAAAAAAACAAAAAACTGCGACTTATCGTCCGGAAAATACGGTATTGACAATTGGTACAAGACACCGTTCGAAAAAAGATTTGCGTGGAAAAAAGGGGATCAAATCGGAAATGAGACCTTTTTGACTATATTTGTCACGGCTCAACACAAGTTTTAGTCAACCTTTGATGGCCATTTGTATCCAGAGGCGGAACTTCTGGAGGAGGAGGCCGAGATCAACCAGGGAGCAGCCGAGGTCGGTGGGCTGCGGCGGAGGCGGCGGACGTTCAGCCGGACAATGCCGGAGCACATGAAGCCCAAAAAGCATTTCGGCCAACCGCCTGACGAACACAGAGACGGCAATATGGGTATGACGTCATGATGGTTATTTTATAATCGTATGAAATGTCTGTGGAACACACTTAGAGAGAAGTTGATCACAAATTGGAAAAGCTGCTGGTACTGGCTAATCAGAAACTAATTTGTATATTCAACAAAACAATGCAGCTCTGCTTACCTTACTGGATTAGAGGAATTTCCACTATTTAAGAAAGTACTATACTTTTATTTGTCTGGAAAGTGGCGTACAATTAAAAACTCCGATCCTCTCCCATGTTAACTGTTCAGCCTGCAGCATTGATGAGTGTGCACAGTCGCTCATGTTGTTGATATGATTGAATATGTTGTCTCCGCCGGTACTTTGCCGGACATGGTTTGTAATTATCTTTCAATCTTGTCGCCTTTTTGTGCTTGTCGTTCAGGTCCGGCGGAGAGGAGCAGCCCGCACAGATGGAACATCACAGCGATCGTGGGTGCAATGAGTGTGATGTAAGACAACCCTGCTCGACGCTGATTGCATTTCTTCCTGTATTGTGTGTGTCTCCCCCCCCCCCCACTTCTTTTAAATGTTGTCGCAAGTCGGTACGTGTACAACAGCACCATCAAATGAGATCCAGCACAATCGAAAAAAAGAGTTTGTTGTTGCAGCTCTTCTTTTGGATCTTATTGCAAAAGTTGAGCGCCTGAAGGCAGTTTGATCTGGCAGCATGAAATTTGCTCGGCATGTCCATCAGGAGAAGACCCGCAAAAAGTTTGAAAAAGCCACGCCCTAAAATGAGGTCCTCCCAACTTTTTTTTTTTTTTTTTTGTGTCAAGGACCAGTTGTGTCACCAGGGGAGGAACTTCTCTTGCTAAAGTAGCTTCATTTTCCGAAGTCATGGCTGCCCATACGTTTGGCCAATTTGTTACAATTACTTTCTGTGTACTGCTTCTTACTTTTTGGCAAATTCTATTGATTTCAACTTGCAAAGCAATGTTAAAAGGGGGACTCTTAAGGTACGAGGCCCAGTACTGGTCCGCGGACCAGTGGTTGGACACCGCTTCCCTAAAAGACACCAAAGTCTGCCATTTTGGTTTAAAGTGCACATTGTGTGTGTGTGGGGGCGGGGGGGGGGGGGGTCCTGCAAAGTGCGGCAAAAGATTATTTTGGAGTTTCATTTGGGAGCATTGAATTTTGTTCGGTGTGTCTATCATGAGTAGACACACCAAAAAAGCCTTTTTTTTTTGTGCAAAAAAGCTTTTTCATTTGTAGCCTTTCATACATTATCCTTCCTATAATTGTTAATGGGCCAATCTGTGCACGAAGCGGACACACCAAACGCAAATTCTCACCTAAGCTCTGCTTCCCTTTTAGCTTTGACCTAAATTTTTTCCAGACAGTGGCAATAGGTTGAAATTGGCTCTCCATCTTCCTCCAGCCTTGCTTCCAAGTCACAAGTGGAAAAGCACCACAGAAATAGCCTCTTTTTCAATTTCAGTTTGCTGATCCTGACGGTGCTAAATGTGGGCTTGTTCGTCAAGTTGTTGGCCATGGAGGACGTGGCCCACCGCATGTACCTGACGACAAAGCATCGGCTGAAGGAGAGGGCCGAGGCCAGGTTTGCTTCGCTCCTCCGCCGCTATCCACTCTCTCTTTTGCATGTCATGACACCGTTGTGTGTCATAAACAGCATCGCGCCTGAGTACCCTTCCAGGCAGGGTCCACCACTCAGGAGCAGAGAGGAGGCGCAGCTGCTCAGAACTGTCCTGCAGGACTCCATTAACCTTTTAGAGCAGGTAACTATACTTTATAAATATAAAATATTTTCTGTAAGTTACATGATTAAAAGTAACAAGTCTCCCCTTCTCTCTCTCGAAAGCTCCGCCGTTCCCTGATGCTGCTGCAGCAGAAATTTGCATTGGCCAATCAAACGACGGTTTCATGGTGACAACCCTCACTGTGTTTTTATTGCTACCGACTGACCTCTTGAAATGTGCCTTTTGTGCGAGTCGCACCCAAAAAGCAAATGTAAATATTTTAGGCTTTTGTTTTATTGTCAGAAAGGTAATCATTATTTAACAATGTTTTTGTTTACAAGTTTGCACATTTTTAATTTTTTTGCACAAGGGCCTTGAGCCCGGAATGTGTTTTTACAAATTTCTTGAAATAAATTACATCATTCAAGTCTTATTTTTACGTTTCCCATACGGTGACCTTGCTGTTTTGTTAAATAATTTTCTATATTCTGTACATCATAAATGCACATTTGTTGGCCACTGTTGTGGATAAAAGTTCCATGTTTACACTGTTGCCTTCACTGTTCTATGTTGGCCACTTTGGTGAACTTATTTCCCCGATCAATAAACGATGATTCTTGCTATCAAATTGTAATCATTTTGATATATAGTTGAAAAAAAATCATATAAACAAAAAAATTTGGAAATGATACTTTTTAGAAGAGATGTTCCTTCTCAAGCAGAAAATTATTACAAGGAAAAAAGAATCCCAATGTAAGAAAATCAGTTTTCATTACACAAATAGAAATTAATAAATCCTGGAGCAAATTGTCAAAAAAAAGTAATATTAAATAAAAAGTTGTAATATTAAGAACGTGTTTTTTTAATGAGAGAAAATAAATCATGACACATGGAAAAAATAAAAACAAAAAAAAACGTTGGGCAGTAATTTTACATGTATCGGTCATAACATGTTGTGACGTAATTTCATGCACATGCGCTGTTGTCCCTGGAGTGGCCCCTACTTTTGTGACGTCATTACTACGGGACAGACGAGTTAAAGAGCCACCGAATACAACCACAACCCCGAAAGTTTAGGGCCCTTTTGTACTCGGGAGGAAACTTTTGTTAAACCGCAGCTAATAATACATTTTTAAAATTTCATAAACCGGCTGGTAACTTCCGTGACGTTCGCTACCCCGAAACGCTCGCGCGAGAGGAGCAGCGGACATGTAGCAGCTCACTTTTCTGGTATGTTTGTCTTCCACATTTTTGGGCCGTCTTTTGCACAATATCGGACCTTAAAATGACTATTGACTATCATGCTGACGAGCGGCACAACCAGGAAGTGAAATTGTTTTAAAATATCCCCAGTCGCCTTTTGATTGGGTGGCTGTGGTGGAAAAGCAGGAAGTTGCTCCTTTCTCTGAGAAAAACGGCCTAAAAAATGTCATGGTTAATATATTTGATAAATTTGAAAGTTTTTACGTCAAGTCTGAGGTGCTGTACTTGCACCGGAGTAGAAACGAGTGACATAAAATGATGCTTGCTCAGAAACAGCACAATAGTAACCGAAAACGGAAGAAATTGCACGGAGTAGCACGTAACAACTCTCGTTAAAGGAGACCGTTTGCTTTTGTTTCACCATTTTCATGGTAAAATTAGCTCATTTTAGGGGTCAAGCGGTCTCTTGCAGTGAGTCAGTACTTATTCATTCGCAGTGGCGGTTCCAGACTAATTGTAGGGAGGGGGGCCTGGCTGGGGCAATGAAATTTGTCAGAGGGGCATATTCCACCCACTTCTAGCAAACGTTACAGTTTACCTTACCGCAACACATTTATAGACTGAGTTGCTGACGTGTATTCCTCTCCATTGCTCTCTGTCCGCCGTTCCAAATGGAGAAAAAGGACATTACGTCCTATTTCTGCACCGTAAAGACGAATAACAATGAAACAGACAAATTCAGACGATCGTATCGAGAGAGCTGAAGAGAAACAAGTTGAGAGTGCCAGCGAAAGAGAGCCAGGGAACCCAGGAGACAGTGGTTGTCAGAGAGAGGAAACGGACCAGGGAAAAGAGACCGTTGAAGATCCTGAGAGTGAGATACAAGAAAACTGTGACACACACACAGACAATAGACAGGTATGTGTATCTACAAAGGTAACTTACATTAGCGAGAAGTATGCAATCAGTTCAAGCGAACATACCGTAATTGGTTAAGTTGAGTTTATCCATACAGCCCCTAATCACAAAAGAGTCTCAAATGACTTCAAAGGCTCACCGTTCACAAAAATCAACAACATCCTCTGGTCTGGACAAGCCAAGCAAGTAAATTCTTAATTCAGTAAAAAAACATTTAGGGGAAAAAAAAAGAAGAAACACTGCCGGAAGAGGCTCCGGTGGAGTGTTTTTCCTCAGGACCTGACCTCAATGCATAAGCATCACAGCAACAACATGGCTTTGCTAATCGCCACCTAGCGAGAGAGGAGAAGTGGCAGTAAAACAGGCCAAAATACAGATGTCATTGGGTGTGGTTAAACCAAATGCAAGAGTGTAGCGATCAGTCTTAAGTCAAGAATGAAACATGAGAAAGTGTCTTGAAAACAATTCTGTTATTAATTGGCACTTTCTAAATAAACTCTTCTTCTCTTGTCCGCCCAGTCGTCAACCATGACGAAAAGGCGGGACAAGGACGAAAAGGAACCGCTGTGCTGCTGCGAGTATGTCAACAGACACGGCGAGAGAAGCCACGTGGGGGCTTGCTGCTGCGACTGTGAAGATCTGGACGATGCCTGCGACAGGTACGCCGGAAATATGAATTTATTAAAACATTTTCGACTTCAGGGTGCTCTTTCTCTCTTCTTCTCATTTATGTGTATACCTTTTTAGAGTGAGAATTTTGTTTCAATTTACTTCATTGAGAAATAGTCCATCACCTGAAGGTCAAATCCACTTTGACCCCAAAATGTAAACACATTCCACATGATAATCATAAAGATATTGGTTGCTCGGGTAAAATTATGATCTCGAGACCTGCACTATCCATCATTATTCATGTTTCTCGGAGAAGTAATTATGTCACACTCGGGGACAAATGGGGGCGTTTTATTACACTTTATTAGCTCCCTATAATGAGCAAGATTGTCGGACGTGACGGGTGGCGCGTGACTGCGTAGCAGCCATTTTAGTTCATGAAACACGGGAAAACTTCGAAGATGGAGTCCTGAATGAATGTTTTAATAATGGGAGCTGTTACGGGACAACCTTTTGTCTTCTAAGAACATTTCTTGGTTGGGTGATGTTGTTTTTCAGATTTTTTAAGCGAGAGCCTCAAAGTCCAGATGCACTGTCCCGCGTGGCCGCCGACATCAGCGACCGCGTACGTATTCCCTGGCTGGGAGGCGGCGCCCGCAGAGTGGACTTGTCCGTCATCCCCCCTTTGGTCTTTCTTCCGGCGCTGCTGCACCTCGCCGCGTTCCACTTCCTGCTCGGCGTGACGGTTCTGATCACTACGCCGGGCATGTTGCTGTGGTACTACTACTTCACCCACCGCAAAAAAGCTCGGACGCTGTTTTTTCTGAGCCTAGCGGTTTTCTCCTTGGCCTACATGTACTACGTATTCATCACCAAAGTGGTACCGCGCGGGGGCGTCGGTGCCGTTGAGCTCGGCTTGGTCACCACCGGGATGCTGCTCACCTTGCTGGGCCTCGCAAACACCAAGAGAGGCCCAGGCTTTGTGAAGGCCACAGAGTCGGATCCTGTTCTTGAAGACCAGCTGGGATGGTCACAAGAGGCTGAGCCTAGCTGGAAGAACTGGTGTTCCGTGTGCCGGGTGGTGCGGCCCCCAAGGGCGGGACATTGTCGGATATGCGGGGTCTGCGTGCGGCGTCATGACCACCACTGTGTCTGGTTGGTTGCAGTTATCATACCTCTTTCTTCACCTTTTCTACTTTAGCTCTTAGTACTATTGATGCCAATGTGGCGCTTTTGTTGTTTTCAAACTACCCCCCCCCCTCCACCACCCCTTAAAAGGCACCTAGCAAACAAATTTAATTGATACTATATTGATTTTGAAGTGCTAAAATGGACTTATACGTAATGCCATAAATGCATATCGCACTATAACTCATGTTACAAGCCGGCGAAAACAGCTGAACTTTATTTGTGTTGAAGATGAGTTTGAATGTTTGAGCACGGCGACAGCCGCAATTGCATTTAAACAGGGGTGTGTAGACTTTTTATATTCATCAGAGAGTGAACTGCCGCCATTCGCAAGCCTTGCAATCGTGAAAGCCGGTCATTAATTCCACCCCCCACCTTGCACATAATGGCAGCAAAGTCTAAATGAAGCTCTTCAACTCACTTGATATGGGTTTTTTTTTTTTTTTTTGCACCCAGGTTACCAACAGATAGCGCCAAAGCAAACGTGTTAATTGTTTTGGGCTGAGCACAAAATCATGCAATGGGAATGTCATTTCGGAAAAACAAAAATCAACCGCCTTCAGCAAACATCCCCTGAAAATTAGTTGACAAGACTGATCCCTTCATTGTTTGTTTTGTCTCCCCAAATGTGTGTTTGTGCGTACCCCACCACGGAACCCACCCTCTGCATCTCCGTCCGCACTGCAATGGGTACAGGATCGACAGCTGCGTGGGGCGGGATAACCACCGCAGCTTCTTGTTGACTCTTGTCGTCTTCCTATCCACGTCCTTGTACGGGATCGGTTTGACTCTGCGGAGCGTGTGTTCGGAGCAAAACGTCCTCACCGCTTTGTTCTACTGCCCGGGAGTCTACGAGGAATATAGGTAAATTTCCTCAAGAGAGTGATGTAAAGTCACTCTGTTGCCAGTAAAAAAATCACTGCACAGGCAATGTTTAACACTTTAATGCACTCTGTAACCTGCTTTCCACTGTAGTAACCGCTGTTCCCTGAAAGGGTTAAAACAAACTATTTTGGTCTAATTCTTCTTCAGATTGGGTGTAATGCCATTGTCGAGCAGTAGATGGCGGCACACTTCAGTTTTGCCAGGGTGTAAATTTAAAAGAACGAAATAATAATAATAATAAATTTCATTTGCAAGCGCCTTTCACAACACTCAAGGACACTTTACACCAAGAGCAAATAATAAAACCAACAGGAAATATTTCAGCGCGGCATAGTTTGGGGTGAAAATGTAAAGCCCTCTGAGTTAAAATAAGTAAACTGGGATCGTATTTTTGTTATCCGTTGCTCTTTCAACACGTTTGTATTATTTCGGGACTCTCTTCAGAGCAATTAAGTGCCGTAAATGAAATGCGTTCAAACCATAGAACCGTTAGGCCGGCTGGCGTGCGAGCCACGAATCAATTTTCCCACAACAATGTCCCCATTAATGTTGCTCAGTAGCACGTCCTTGTGGTTTTTTTTTTACCCCCCCCCCCCGGGCCCCCATTTTTTTTTTCCCCCCCCCCCCAGTGCCTCCATATGCTTCACGAGCGCCTGGTACTGCGCCGTGGTGTCGTGCGGCGTCCTCCACCTCCTGCTCACTCAGCTGCTCAACATCAGCTACAACGTGACGGAGCGCGAGGCGCGCACCGCCGTCAGGGAACGCTCTGGCCGCCGAGTCTTGTGGGGACTAGCCGTGGACACCGGCGTCCACTCGCGGGGCCTGTGGGCCAACTGGGTCGAGTTTTTGACCATGCCGGAGGAACGGATGCCCCGACGTGTAAGTGCAAGTGTGCTTATTCCACTCTTGTCCACTGGAGGGCAGCATGGTGCCTTATAAGCAAGGCTTCTGCATGGCTGGACTCCCTTCAGTTATTCGAGTACTTTAGTATATACAATATTTTGTTTTTGAAAACAAACGACTAACAATAAGTTAGTCAAGATCCATGGCATGCAGTTTAACCCTTTCATGCACCTTATAACCTGATGACATGATAAGCTGTCCACTATAGTAACCGCTGTACCTGAAAGGGTTAAGGGCATCAAGTCATGTAAAAAAAAAAAAAGTTAGTAAGACAAAGCTGTTCTGAATTGTCTTACCCGTGAGGACAAAGTGTGTACTAGTACATGGAACTTAAGACGGATATCAAAAACGTTACTTAAGCAGTTTTCCATCGCGCTAGACAACTACTTGTTATGAGTGTGTCATGTTTTGGCTCCCCCCCACCCGCGCTTATAGTTCATGGATTCAGTTCAGCAATATGTTTTTCCTGGGAATAAACCTTGTAATTGGTCCGAGCCTGCGTTTATGGGATCTGTATTCCATCCGGTTCGTTGCCGAGCAAAACGGCGCACGGGTTGATGACGGCGTGCTGCTCTGACGACTAACTTGACAAGAATGACTGACTCCAGTATATTGAGGACTAACTTCAGTTTATTGAGGAGTGTCAGTCTCCGCGTATAGCCGTATGTCCATGATGTTGCTCCAGAGTGATCAAGGCGCACACACTCGAAGGAGTCGCACAATGTCCATTGAATTGATGCAAAAAATTGTGGCCAAAATAGTTGAATTCTTGACATGCTATTTTATTATCTTATGGCTGTATGTTTTTAATGAAGCGCAAGTTTATAAAATGTAACTTTTTTTCTTCCCTGTCTCGATTCTCAACATTTTCTGCATCCGCCCCGTGTCGCCTTCATCTATAAGCTGACTCCCCTTGACTTTTGTCTTCCAACACTGAGCGTTGTCTTTTGTGTCCTCTCCAGTGCCATCCGGGGAGCGGAGATGACGAGTCATGCGTGAAAGTCAGTCATTATGACATTCATCCAGCTTTAGGGGCGTCCTCACGCCCAGACGACGCCTGATCAGCATGTCTACCGCTGGCACAAAAAGCCGCAGGTTGACAGGCCCGCTATTTTTCTGCAGCGGACAGGTACAAATATACATTTACTGACAGTCGAGAGGTTCAGGGTTCCAATATCGGTTCAAGTGTTGTTTTTTTTATTTTTTTTTATGTTCTCCATGTGCTATTGTGTTTTCTACATTTTCCTCCCTCATTCTAAAAAAAAACAAACAACCCACTCATGTAAAGTTCATTGAAGACTAAATGAGGGCGGGGTAAAGTCTGGCTAGCTCGGATCTTTCATTTGCCGACCTGAGTATTTACATGATCGATGTCAAACTCAAGGCTACACATCAAATCATTTGGCCGACTTAAGCAAATGAAATGTGTTGACTTCCTGTTTGTTGCGAAATGGATTTGTCATTTTGGCAGAAAATCTTAAATCCAACAAAACCTTTACAGAATACTTCAATGCCACATGCCACTTTTTATATTGACTTCCGATTTAAAATTCAATTTGATGTTAAAAATATATGAATATGATGAGGTGATACTTTTATGTTTTTCCCCCATTATAACCCATTACACTATGTCGCGGCCTGTGACGAAAACGAATGGGACAGCCCTGATTTTGGTGAATTCAAATGATTTTTTTTACGAATGTTTTAAGATGTTTAGCGTATTCAATAATCAATAATTGATTGTAAATTCTAAACTGGTGTCAAACTCAAGGCCCGGGGTCCAGATCTGGCCCGCCAAATCATTTTATGTGTCCCGCGATAGCAGAGCCAACATGTCAACTTCCATGTTGCTTTCCCAAAATGTTAATTCTCATACGTTATAAATAAGAAATATTCTCAGCATTTTCTTGTTACCAAACCGCTTATGATTGTAACTTAAACAAGAGTTGAATCAACAGTTATTCTTGATTTCTTTTTCTGGTTTTAGTCATAACGGCCCTCCCAGGGAAACGGTAACGAAAATGTGGCCCCGCGACAAAAATTAGTTTGACAGCCCTGGTCTAGAGGATCAGCGTCAATTTCTGGCATGTGCACTACGTGCGGCCGCACAGGACTGCTTTGCAGCAATGGGCCACCCAAAAAAAAAAAAAAAAAAATGCTTTGTGAAATTATTTTCTCTTGCTTCATGTCAACTGATGGCATTCGTGTTGGGAATTTGCCACCCTTGTCGAGTTGGCCTCTTGAGAAGAGAAGCAGGGTGGCGGACTGAAAGAAAGAGCTCAATCATGAATGCACTGAATGATTAGGTGAACAAATCTTTTTAATGACCTGATTCGAGTACTTCGGTACAGATGAGAAAATTGCCATCACAGGGAGGTTACGAAACCGAATACTAATGATGAACATGCAACGCTATTGCTACATACCTCTTCCCTTATTTTTCAATGTGTTATTTATTTGAGAAAATAAGGACAGTGTTGCAAAGAATGTCATTTTTGACTAACTGGGGGGGTGGGACCGAAGACGTCTTGTTGTTTCACAATGGCTGATGAGTGACTGTTGTACATGACTCGGGCTGACTTTGTATGGCTTTAACGGTGTGTCCGTTCTTCATTTCTCAATAAATGATTGACGACGTGCCGTGTTTACGGACGCCTTTGTGAGTTGGTCCGCCGCCGGGCTTTTCACAGAGGCCGTGACCAAAAACTGGGCAGCACCTCATTCACTTTTCTGCAAAGTCTCTCGCGTCTTTCCTCGCGTTCCCTTTCCTTGCGCTCCAGACAAGGAAGCAGCCTCCAGGCCTGGAAGCATCGCCGGAGCGCCGCTCTGAAGTCAGACCAAAAAAAAAAAAAAAAAGATTTGAGATTGTTCATGTCTTTGTTAGTGAGCAAACTTAAAAAAAATAAAATAAAAAATACTTCCCCGCTTGTGTGGCCCCTCCCCCCCACTCCTTGCTAACTGCTAGTTTGCGTTATGCAAATGAATATCATCAAAATACATTGTTCTGATGGCACACCGCCAGCAGGAAAACATTGCGCATGCTTTCCGACCTAATTGACCGCGCAGACGCCGGAATCACAAGTGAACAAATGGCCTTTTTCATTCCAAACTCATTTATCATCATCTGGCAGCGGCGACACTTATTGCACTGCTGAATAACTGCAAACTTCACCGAGTTCCAGGTGAAAAGCGCGCTCTTCCAAACCTGTTGTCGTGCTCCTCTGCCATCTGCTGATGTTCCAGCGCCAGCCTCTTCTCCTGGATCACGTGGTCCCGCAGAGCCCGCAGGAACCTACTCAGCGTGTGGGCGCGACAGAAGACATCCGCCTGCGACTCCTGGAGGAGCCGCAGATCTTCCAGCTGCCACGAAGGTAGCAACATTGGATCATTGATAATTGGATGCTCCATTAGATGTTCTCCCACACACAGACATAAAAATGCTTACGAGGCGCATTCTTTATCCTCTGCGAAGACCCAATATTACTGAGAGCTACTTCTTGACTGCTGATTGGTGTGCTATGGGCCTGAGCCGCACTTGAAATAACAAATCTTCATAGATTAGGTTCTATTATATGTTGTTATTTGAGAAAAAAAATGGCTCAATCGACCACAAAAATTGGTTGACAAAAATTTCTGCCTTGAAATTGGGGGAGGGGCAATAACCCATTTAAGCGATTGAGTCATCGATAGGATATCCATCCATCCATTTTCTCATCCGCTTATTCTCACAAGGGTCTCGAGGTGCGCTGGAGCCTATCCCAGCTGTCTACAAGCAGTAGGCGGGGTACACCCTGAACCGGTCGCCAGCCAATCGCAGGGCACACATAGACGAACAATCACTCGCGCTCACAATCACACCAAGGGGACAATTTAGAGTGTTCCGTTACCCTGCCATGCATGTTTTTGGAATGTGGCAGGGAACCGCAGTACCCAGAGAAAACCCACGCAGGCTCGGGGACAACATGCAAACTCCACACAGGAAATCCGCAGCCGGAATCGAACCTGGCACCTCTGCACTGCAAGGCCGACATGCTAACCAGTTGCCCACCGTTCCGACTGACTTAAAATGACTCAAAATGGCCGCCGCAACATATCGGGGCTAGACTAGAACTGTGTTCATAACGTCTAACCGCCACTATCTGGCTTCACTTTATTACCATGCCTCATCGTCTTTAACGCTTTCCAATGTGGAGTAACGTGATAAAGGCTGGACTTGTATTAACCAGAAAGTCCCAAGCTGAGCTTCTTTTCTCACGTAGGGAACATAAGATGGAGTGCAGGCAGTGTGGGGATTAGTCACTGCCAGCGCATGGACCATAGCAATCCTGATCGAGTGCCTGCATGTTTGTGTATGTGTGTGTGTGTGTGTGTGTACACACTCTTTTCCAGTAGCTTAAGCTCCTTCGGAGTAGAAGTCTGTGGTGCAGTCGGTCAGCGCAAGCTTCCTTCTCAGACAGAGCTTCCCTCGTCAAGAGGCGCCATCGCAGAAGGCATCGCTTCAGGAGGGAGTCCGAGTGATGATTTTCGGCTCGCTGGCAGCCGGTAAAAAGGGGTCAAACAGAAACGATGCAAGGGTATGAACAAATGCTACTAATATCTTCCTGCACTTTTTTTTTTTTTTGCTTTTTTTTCATGAGCTTCACTCAAATATATGACACCAAAAGGGTATATTTCTTTCAAATATTGCTTTGAAATTTGCGATAGTCAGCACTTCTCCTTCGGCGAGGTAATCCATCCACTTCACATGTGTGGCATGTCGAAAATTATACCGGCACAGATTCTTTCTCCTGCCCACAATAAAAGGCCACTAAAATGTCCGACAAAGAAAATATTAAGAATTAATTTGGGATTATGAAAATTGTATCGATTTCAATACAATATTACTTTATTAAAATGGATACATTTAACGAAAAAAAAAGATAAATTGTTCAAAATGTAGGGGTTTTTTTTCTTTGTTTTTTGGCTGTCTGATTTCTCACCATTATCCGTTTATGACTTAGCATGAATAATAAAGACAGCTATGCATAATTGGGTATCAATAACAAGTCACTTCAAGTTGAAAATGTGATTGACGTTAGAATCGCGCGCAAACGGACGACCAAACGGGCTTTTTAGCCGTGAGGTGAGATAATCTCAATTGAGCCCCCGCACCAAACATGCGGTCTGCTTTTTGAAAAACAGATGCATCTCTTGTTTATCTTCCAGCTAACAAACATATACACACACGCACACACACGCAAGCAGGCCGCTGCATATGAATTTTATGTCCAACGAGGCGAGGATTTTATTATTCAAATATATGTCGTTTCTACCTAATTGGAACTTGGAGGTCAGAAATCCTCCGAAGTGCCTTGAAGTTAAAGTAACAAGTGGTTAGTGAGCTGCCAAACAAAAAAAAAAAAAAAAAAGAGGTGGGGGGGGGCAGGTACCTCTTCATTGGCCTGCTTGAGCTCTATGAGGCATTTCCATGGCGCCAGGCCTCGGCGACGTAGCACCTGTCTGTCGTAGTGGCGACGGGCCCGATCCAGGAGTTGCCGCTCTTGCTTCATTTGCTTCAGTTTCTCCTCTTCCTTCTACACAGCAAGGCAGCTGGGTGATGTTTCGGAAGAACGGAGAGTGGGATCGACGGGTAGGCCCATTAAGGGTGCCCCGAAGGTGCCAAAATGAAATGAAGTGACGTTTCCAACTGAGCGTGTCCTGCTGTGCGGTCGAATGAAGAATCGTGCCCTCAGCAGTTAAAAAAAAAAAATTGCATGGAGTCTCATTGCATGCAGCAAAATAATTGGAAGCTTTAGATGGGATGGGGGAAAATCTCATGTGGCCCCCTTCATTCCCTGACTTCAAACCTATTGAGAACCACATTTAGAGATCTTTAGCTAGTTCGTGTAGTTTTAGTTTGTAAGCTTGTTCTTTCACTCATTCATTAGTTTTTGTTTTGTTTTTGTAACGGCAATATCGTGAGTCCAGGAAGCATCTCACCATCCTGGCCAACCTTCTCTCGTGGAGCTTTTGGGCTTTCTCCACCTCCTCCTCCCTCAGCTTCCGCTCCTCGGCAGCCTTCATCTCCGCCTAAATGAAAAAAGTCGGCATCTTAACAAGAGGCATTGAACAGTCCATGTTCGACTCTTGCCTCCCTCTCACCTGTTTTTCCTCTTCCTTCACTCTCTTCAGTTCCTCCGTTTGCTTCTTTCGCTCGGCACGGACGCGGGCTCGCTCCTCCATGGCTGAGAATAAGATCATCAAGGTTATTCGAGTTAACAACAACTCATGAAATAACTAAACTGAAATTGTAAAAAAAAAAACATTTTGTGAATGAAATCAAATAAAAATGATTTTCATTCACAAAAATCCAATTTTAACCCTTTCATGCACCCTGTAACCTGATAACACGATGAGCTGTCCACTGTAGTGACCGCTGTCCCTGAAAGGGTTGAAGACATGATAACTAACCGAAACTCCGCCATCTTGCGTTTATCAAACCAAATTAGCGCAGCAAAAATGTCCTCTGTTTGGGGTTTGTTTTCAATGGATTTATTGTCTGTACAGAAGAGGGAACGTCAGTCACACAGTCGTTTCAAAATTGTAATCGTAAATGTAAAATACTCTATTTATTAAAAAAAAAAAGAAAAAAAAAGCTAATTAAAAACAGAACTAAACAGAAATAAAAATAAGCATTTTGGGGGTAAAAAATTTATTAAAACTAACAAATCCGCCCTAAAAATAGAATTAAAAAAAAAACAAAAAACAAAAGCGAAAATGAAATCAAAACAAATGATGATGTCAAATCCAAAGATACGATAACTTTGATGATAATCCGGATTTTTGTGTACATCCCATTGAGAAATATTGGCTGTAAAATGTGACCGTCATGCACTTTTTCCGAGCCGCGGTGTTAAAGGACTGACCTGAAATGATCGGGCACGTCGGTGGCTTTGGTTTTTGCCACGGGGGTGCATCAGGGCTATCAGGTTCTGCTGCTTCCGTCGGCTCTCTGCAACAATAGCAACTTAGTTTTTAAACCGGTCAGCCGGACGATTGACGACCCGCCGTAAAGAAAGAAAAAAAAAATCCCACCTTGGCTGTGGCATCTGTCTGGAGGCAGAAGTCTTGCGCGCCTCCAGCTGCCAAGCAGACATGACCTTCTCCCGCTTGAGCTTTGCAATCTCCTCCTGTTGCTCTTTGAGCTGCCTCCTCTGTTGCAGGATGATCTTCTTCTGGGCGGCGTGGCGGTTTTCGAAGCAGCTTCCGTGCGAGGTTTTTGTCTTTGGGTCAGTTGAATCATCGTCGGATTTGGGCTTGTCTGCTTCCTGGTCTCCTTGCTGGGCCTCCGTAGTGGCTTCCTTGAGGCGGCTGAAATGGACTCGAGTACGTGTCTTGACGGGCTTCCGGGGATCATCCTGCGGGTCAAGACAAAGAGGCTTACGTAAAAATATTTTCACAACTTTTATCGGGGGACTGAATTGGCTAAAAAAGGGATGGAGAATTGAAATGCAAGAGGGAGGCATAATTTTTCCACATTGGTACTTTCGGGGCCACATAGGACCACGCCCTTCCGAACCAGATGTATGAGCAAAATGCTGTTTTAAATATGGAAGAAATATATGTAATATATTTTATTTTTGATAATACATTTCCAAATGTATAAAAGATCCACTATCATAACGCAGTTAGAAATGGTTTAGAACATATACTGTATTTTTTTTCCCCCATTTATTTTTTTAATCAACTAACATTAAGTGCAAGAACTCATTGAAGTCCTGCATAACATATATTTTTTTCCTCCCCCCCGCAACATTTTTTTTCCCATATTTGGGATTTTTCTCGAGCCCCCTCATCCTTCTTATTTTTTTAAATCATACATTATATAACCTACATTGAATGCAGATTAGCATTTTTGGAAGTATTAGTTGGATTTATAAAATTAAATTTTCCTCAAATTAAAATGACGGATAATGTTTTTTTTAAATTACAAATAAAACTTTTTTTTTTCTTCAGTTAATGAAGTGTCACACGGGCCAAGCAGTTCACCATCACTGGTGTAAAATCGCTTGTTTTGTTTGCTCAATAAAACATTCAGAGTTGAAGTCACTGGAACTGCAGTACAGTACAACTATCAGCATGTACAGTATTCCTCCTCCATGACTTAATCGGCCGTCTGTACCCAAAGCCCCTCCGGCTCACAATCCACACAGATAACCGCCGCAAAACCTGATTATGAGCCCAACCTCCACACTGACCTCGACACCATCTAACTTCATCTCCCGCTCGCCGCTTCCTTCTGTCCCCCGAGCTCTGTTCTACTATCCTCCCACCTTCTATTTCATATCCCGGAGCCATATTTCCATCTGCTCCGTACCCCACCCTGCCCTCAATATACACATCTCACCTCATAAGCCGCTTTCACAGCTGAGGGGAAATTGTGTAGTTGACGCATTTGGGCCGTCCGCTGGAAGGTTAGAAGGTGCGTGCGTACTAACAGTGGATTTTATGGACAAAATGACATGACATGACAGCTATTTTGGGGGCGCGTACCTTTCCCGTGTTGTCTGGCGGGTCACTTGTGAGCGTGTCCGGGGGTTTGAACTGGCCCGTCGTGGCTGCGTCAATCAGAGCGGCCATCTTGCGCCGGGTCTCCTGCTGTTGGGCCAGCAGCTCGCGTTGGTCGCGTTCCTGCCGGCACCACAGCCGCCACTCGTGCAGGTATCGTCGTTGCAACCGCCTCCGGTCGCTTTCCTCGGCCAGCTGCCGTTGTCTGGAGGAAGGATACATCAACAAAAGTATTGGGACATTGAAAGGAACTGTGGAGTTGGTATCCCCAATTCTCTGCTCGAGTTGATTCTCCTGTGAGGTCAAAAGTACCATATTGGCCCGAATATAAGACGGTGTTTTCTGCATTGAAATAAGACTGAAAAACTGGGGGTCGTCTTATATTCAGGGTCTAGACGTTTTACCTATTCACGACGCTAGATGGCGCCAGATATCATTGAAGCGAATGCTGAACTTGACTCCCCAGGCCCAAGTGAACCCCTGTCACGAAGAATAAAATTAAAAATAGCGGTAGCACGAACAAGAAAAATAAAAAATTGCGGTAAGAAAGAAAAGAGAAGAAAATAATAGAAGAGATAACAGAAAATGGAGAAACGTAGCGACAATCTGGAGAAAAGTGGGTCGAAGATCGGCCAGGTTAACCGGCAGCTGAGGAGAAGTTATGATGTAATTTACATTTCAAAAACCAGAAGCCATTCATTTACGAATGTGATTGCACTTTAGTTTACATATTTAAATGTTCAGATATTAAGATTTGAATGAGGCAAAATAACATGCTTTTTCTCTCAAATATATTGTTAGAATCATTTGTTTCAGATGTACTGTAATTATTTTCTGTATAAAAATTTGGTGTTCAAAAAGTCTTTTTTCAAACTTGAGTCTTGAAAAAGAGGGGGTCGTCTAATAGTATTCATTGTATTGCATACATACATACATGTATGTATGTATGTATGTACATACATACAAAAAATAAAATGATGTGGAAGACAATTGTAAATAGCACTGCGACCTTATCCATATCTGTATTTATATTGCACTTAATTGAACGTGTTTGTTTTCTTTTCTTCTTTCTTCTTTCTACCCATTATCTTGCTGCTGTGGACTGTAAATTTCCCCAGTGTGGGACAAATAAAGGATATCTTAATACTTCGGTGACACCACTTACAACCTTTCTATTTAGACAGGGCTTTGTCGACATCTTGTGTCTTCTCGAGCGTTTTACAAAAAGCAAAAAAAAAAAATGAATCTGCTCCACAAATTTTTTTTGTGTTTTTTTTTTTTTTTTTTAATGTGCCTGTTTTCAGTGCGGAGCTCCTCCTCGGTCTTCGACACCTCCCGCTGATTCCTTCCCGCCCACATGACGGTCCGCCATGCTTGCCAGGCCCCGAGTTGCCTCTTCCAGTCGCACAGCGCCTTGGCCTTCCCCATACGCAGCCTCTGCTCCATCACCGCCGAGTACCAACGCGAGAAATGCCTCTGCAGACACTGCCACGCCAACGGTAAATATACCGCGAGCTCCATGAACACAAAGTCATCACCAATAACTAACCTTCAGGTTATGCAGATGAACAAAGATTTCAACTTTCTTTTCTTGGCGCTGTTGCGCGTTTTCTTCTGGCTGCTGCTGCTGCATTGTGAGAGATGAAGGAGCTGGCTGGATGCTTTTGGATGTCCATTGACCTTCCAGTCTATCCCTGTGAAAGCGACAATGTGTGGGCAAGTGAAGAAAAAGCAGCTCGATCGAATGCTAACATGCTAGCAGTTGGTATGCTAACATCTAACAAGTCGGGACTTTGCCAATTTTACATCTTTCCCAATAGTTGGGGACATTGTTAATTAATTTTTCTTGGTTGTCATAGCGGCGCGGGCACCCGCAGCGGCTCCTCTCTCTTCTGTGGTTGAGAGGAAAGAAATTTCATCTGTGCTGTATGTTGCACATAGAGCACATTTGACAATAAAGTTGACTTGAACTTGAATAAGGGCCGTTATGGGTGAAATTAATTTCACAATGCCTCGTAGTTCACATCTATACCGACATGGAGTGGGTCCTTGACTGATTTTTCCCTTTTTGTTTCCCTTCACAGCCACTTAATAACATGGCTGTGTGTCATTCGCTTTGAAATTACTTCCTGCAGGTTGCTGTCATTTCAAGGGTATTCTAATGGTTCGTCAAAAGTCAATTTGAAACTATTTTAACAATGTCACATGCCGTTCATTTACCCAAAGTGCCATGAAGACAGTGGCGGGGGGCCACTGCCCCACCCTCTGCACGTCCCTGCCGACTTGGCTTTATTTCTTATTTTACTGGACTTTTTTTTTTTTTTTAACTTTGCTACTTTAGTAATTTTGTTTTGTCTTATTTAATTTATTTGACTTCTTTTTGAGACTTTCAGATTTAGTTTAGTTTTACTTTTATTTTTACTTTTCTATTTTGTTTTGACTTTTTACTTGACTTGTTTTATTTTCTTGGTACATTTAATTGGACGTGTTTTACTTTATTTGACTTTTTTTTTTTTTTTTTTTTTACTTCAACTTAACGCGTGTGTTTTCTGGATTTCCTTTTTGTTTTGGAATCTCAGTTTTGCATTTCATTTTACTGCCGATACTGCCTTACCTATATCTGAGGCGCTGTTCCAGGGCTTTCCTCTCCTCCCTCTGCCGCCGCATCCTGACAATCTCCTGCTGCACCCTTTCCTGCTGCCTCCTCCTGGCCTCCTGCCTCTTCCTCTCCTCCTGCTCTCGCTCTCGCCTCATCTTGGCCTCCTCCTCGTTGAGGGCTCTGTTCTCACGCACCTTTTACACACACCGGAGGGACATTGCACTCGTGCTGTAGATATTGAATGTTTTGTACAATTGAATATTCTACCAAGTATCCCATTGGGGAAAAATAGATTTTGCATGATTAAACATATGTGTCTTATTTTTGTCCACTTCAGCTCGGCTTCTTCAAGTTCTACTCTATAGCTGTGACTTTTGAGTGGATATGGATTTAGAAGGCGGGGCCTGGCCTGGTGAGTGATCCCTGGTGTGAATCAAAGGTGGGGAATGTTCTTACAATTAGTCAGTAACAAATTGTGTTGATCAGCCTTTCCCAAATGCTTTAAGACACGCACCCCTTTCAACACAACAGATTCAGTTGGCGCTTTACCTGCCGGTGGCGCAGCTCCATGGTGACGACAGGGTCCGTGAAGGTCCTGTTGGTTCCGCCGCCGTCCGACACCAGCTTCTCCATCATCCCTCCATCCAACACTTTCTGCTTCTTCAGGTCTTGGAGAAAGTTGTCGACGGCACAGTGATCCTCTTCATCAGCCAGGTGGTGGTATAGATCTGTATCGGGTTCGCTCATGTCAAGCCCAGTGCCAAAAGTGTGCCTTACTTTTTTTTTTTTTTTTTCTTGGATGGCACCAGTAGACCCTTCCTAGTCCCTTTCCATTACTGATGGCCAGTAGTTTTACTCTATTTTAGTCATAAAGTTGACGCTTACATGCCAGTTTTGCCTCTTCACAGGGAGAGTACTTTTACTTTATTTCAATTTTATTACATTTTATCACACTGATCTCAGTTAAGAATGTTCGTGAGTGTTTTACCATCAAAGTTGTCGTAGTTGAATTCAGGGGGTGGCGGCGTGGCCGGGCTCCCCTTCTCACATGTCAGGCCATGTGTCTCCAAATCCAACTCGGGTTTCCACGTGTTGTCTAGCCAGTCTCCCAACAGGGTCTGAGCTGCGACACCCCACCGCATCATTAGCACAGCCCTCGTCACTTCTGTGGTGACTTTTTTTTTTTTAACCCCGACCTTCAGCGTAGGCCTCGTCATGATCTCTCAGCTGCTCCCAGCTCCGCAGGGCCATGGCCAAGCTTTTGCTTCCCGTCTGGGCTCTCCTGGGGAAGAAGACCTCAGACAGGGCGAATTCCGAGGCCTTCTCAACTCGCTGGCAAACGTGGAAAGTGAGAAAATAATGTTGGGAAAGTGGCCATCTGCAAGGCACGCTGAAATATATAGTCCAAATGCTTATAGATATGTAATAGCCTACAGCTCAATAAGCATCCCTTCAGGAGGAACGCTTGTTCCAGCAGTAAACAGATGCCGAGACATAACACGTAACCCAGCAGCCCAATAAGTGCTTCCCACCTTTCTCCAGTGATCGATGTCCTCTTTGTTTTCATGCTTCTGGAATAGAAGCAAAAACAAATCTAGTGTGGACGTGTTGAGACTTTGCAAGCAAGGACCAATAATCACTTCAGTAGCCTTTCAGACAGTAATTGTCACCAACATTTGACCAGCAAATTACATGATTTCATATACATTATTGTTTTTAATTAGAATTTGTAAGTTAAACTACTTGCAGCGGACAAGGGCCAAAGCGACAACAAATAGTGAATTTCTGCAAATAATTGACACTGCCCTAAAATTAATGAAGCTAGTATCAGCAAAACTTTCAACTAGTTGATTTCATTAGACTGATTAGCACGTTTTTCCAAATGTAGGTGTGAAGCCCAAAATGGGCTCCGGGTCCATTTACATACATCCGATTGCCAATTGTCAAAAGTTCAAAAAGCTGTAAACGATGGGTATAATATAGGTCTTGACCTGAAAAAGATTGCCTTCTTAACATTTTCAAAAAAGCTCACGAACACATTGGAGCAATATCGGCGGATTAGTTCCAGAGAAGCCTGAGCCTGTTTCCTTAAATCAGCAGATTAGCTGGAAAAATCATAAATGTCCAAATGTCACATTCATTCAATTTAATAATCCTTTAAGGCTTCCTTTTATAGATTAGAGAATGTATTGGGGAGGATTTAGGATAAAGAATGGTGTTCATATGCTATTTGTTTAGTATGGAGGACATATACCTTGGATGCTGATGGTTTTGCTCTGCCATTCTTGCCAGTGCTCTTCCTAATCTTGAACAAGTGAGGCTCAGGGCCGGGTAATGCGGCCATCTGTTATGAAGATGCAATAATTAATTAGATATTTATGCATTGTCTTTGAAATGCCATCGGTATCGTCCACAAAAGTCGAGTTCTAGACCTATTATCAAAAAAAACTCACAAAACAAATATCATCAAACACCTTGACAAAGGATTCTGGGTAATGTAGGTCTTTAATATTTTTTTGTGGCGACAGGAATTTATATTTGGACTATGTTTTCCACAATGCATTTGGGCGTTTAGGCGTCCCTCCGGTAACCGTGGCAACTCCGTAAGAATCACGAAATGTAAAAGGAATATATTTAAACGGAATAAATATCAAAGCAGTTCCAAATATTTCGGCGTAATGGCCACGGGAGAGTTTTGAGAACGTTAATAATGTTTGGTATGCCAGGCGAGTTGTTCAAGTCGCTTTATGATGACATCACAACTCTTCGCCTTCAAATTTCACGACAAAACAGTGAAAGTAGGCGATAATTCTAAGACGGCAGTATTTTTTTTTTCAGTAAGTCATCATATTTTTCCTCGCGTAAACATTCGGGGAGGTAATAATTACATTCCGTGACGAAAGAAGTGCGCAAAAGACCCCGGGCTACAAGCTAAATTCCTAATTCACGTGCTTCGCGAAACTTTGTTTATTAGCCGCATGGCTGTTGGTTGGATGAAGCTCGAGTTTTCTCGAGTTCTCCAGGGAGGTAGCCGCCTGGGTGTCCTGAAGGGGCTCGGCAGGACCGGGCAGCACTCCCTGGAGGTACCGGGCTGTCTGCTGTACAGTCGCTGCGGAACAGTGCCACACCTGACCCAGGATACGTTGCACAACCTGGATAAGCTTCCCTCTGTCACTCAGGTCTCACTGGACCATTTGTAAGCCCAGCACAAAAACATGATGTTATTTTTATTTCCCACATATTGTATCGTGAATGATATCATCTATCTGGATTTTCCTGCAGAGCAGAGCACCAGGAGGTGTTGGAGGAATTCAAGGAAGGATTTAAGAAGTTTTCAGGTATTTTGAGAGGGACATTGTTTGGTTGAAACAATCTTTTAATAGTTCACAAAGAAATATATGTGACTATTAAATGCTACTAATTCACCTGCGTATATGTACAGGTTTGAGTTGGCGACAGTATTTATTTTGAATTTTTTTCATGATTTCAAAGCTCTTGTCTAAAAGGGAGACGAAAACGAACTAGTGAACTAGTGGCATGAACTGTATGCCTGGTGTCAAGGAAACCCATGTCAACTGAGAGACAAGTTGTGTATGCTGGGGGGAAAAAAATCACATTTCAAAACTTCAAAATAAAGTAATCTGTTTGACTGATAATGAAAGTATAGTTTGAAGTTGTATTAAACTTGGACGTTTTTATTCATCTCACATAAATGCTCCTTAAAGTTGACAAAACCCTTTTGTCCTAAAGTTTCAAAGTGTCAAGGACAAGTCCAACCCTCTTGTGTCAACTGTGGGTTCTTATTTGACTCCGCATCAATCATGTCAGACTAATTACATCTGAAAACTCGCCACGTTGCTGTCCTGCCATAAAGCGATAACAAATGTCAAGGGTGAAAGATGAACTTGCTTCTGTCTCACAGTTTAAAAGGACAGTAAACCTAATTTTGACGGATAACTTGGAAATGCTGTCCTTTGAGTGGTCCGGTTTCTGAAAAATATCTTATAGCATGCCTTATAATCCAGTCCCAACTCTTTTGAAGCCAAACTTGCGACCTCGAACTCCTCCTCCTCAACCGTTTGAAACTATTCAAGTGGTTGACTTTTGTCGTAGGTGGAGTTACCATTGACGTGATTTGTCCTTGAATTTCTTGCCGAAGAGCCTATTGAGGAGCTTATATACTGTGTATTATTCATAGAAATGCCCTGGAATGGTGACCTCATTCAACAGTGTTTTCTGAACGTGTATGCGCTTGCGAGCAGTTGCCGCCTCCTGGAATTGTTCCAGTGTCATATGTTATAAGGACAACATGGGATTATTATTATGTTTCTGTGACAAATTCCGCAATCATTTGCCCCACTGTTTGTATTCATGAAGCAACCCTCCCCCACTCCTAACCTTTTATTCACCGCAGGTCTTCATGACACAGTTTTGTTTTGCACACTGAATGACCCTGCGACCCCAAGCCCCACTGGCTACACAACTAACAAGGTTAGACGGTCTCCTTTTCTTTTTCATTCGTTGCTCTGAGTCCATTTGTCTGGTTCAGGTTCTAATTTCTCCTTCATGGTTTTGGAGCAAATTTAAAGAGATGTCATCTAAAATATTTGTAACAGGAAAAAAAAGCAGGGTAAAAAGCCGCACATCAGTATTTATTCAGATCGGATTTGGGCAGCAACTGATTGTTTATCTGTCAATTCATTTTTTTCAATTAATTGATGAATTGGTTAAAAAATATTTTAAAAGTTCTTGCTCAAGTACTGACTACAACCACTCAGTTGGTACCGGGGTCTTTTTTTTCCCTCTGAAATGAACAGTGAGCCATTTCATGGGTGTCCTTTTTTTGACTGGCGTGTAGACGGTGTCCGTATGGGGAAGCGGCGGGCGCATCGAGCTGACGGCAGCCAAATTTATGGCCCTGCAGAAATTGCTGCAGCCCGACTGCTACGTGAGCATGGCCGACGGCGAAACCTGGCAGGACAACACCTCCCGCAAGAGGGTCCGCAAATCGGTGGAGCGGACCCTGGCTCACTTGGATGAGTGTCTGCTGGTGCACCAGGCGTCGCAGGTGCGGCCCAGTTCTAATATGAAAAGCTTTTCTCCCATCGGAAATAATGCAGCGTAAATTGAAAGAGCTTTTGGAGCTGTCCAGGCAGTGCGCTTTTACTTGCATAACTGTTAACTATTTTTAACAATATAGTATACTACATACCAGATAGGGATTGGGGAGTAGTGATCCCACACTCATTTTAAGGTATCGGGCACTCGTGGTGGCTGCCGATACCAGCCACTGATACTTAAGGCAAGCAAAAGTCTTGGCATCGTAAGTACTGGAAGCGCTCTACCCAAAACATCCCTTACACCACTGCACTACTTTATTCACTCTCTAGAGTCAGTCGCCGCACTATTATTAATTTAAATGTAGTAACATGAAATTATCAAACTGATATCATTCATCGAATCATACTTAATAAACGTAATTTATTTGTTGACACTTTTATGCTTTTCTTTCCGCCATATTGCCATGATTCTCGTGATGATAATAGGACGTCTATCAATTCATATTGTAAACGTAATGATCCTCGTGATAATGATCTTATTACTGTTATTATCGTCGTTTGCTATGACTGTCATTATAATGCTTTGACTGCATTTATTTGGTTACGCATTTGCTTGCGCTATTCCATTATCCTCATTATTGTGATGGACTATGATTATCTTTTTAGGATGGAGAAAAATAGAGAGAACGCGTCCTCATCATTATGAATTTTTGGTTGACCGCTGATGCTTATATATTTAATGTTGTGTTTGATTTTGTTTTGCTTTTCCCTCGCCGTAATTGACTGAGTTTGGCCGCTGCGATGTGGTCTTCGGTCCTTCTTTTCTTGTGCTGTCTTTATGGTTGCTTTGTTTGTCGCTTGAAGGCGAACGTCTTATAGTTTGTGTCGGGGAAGGAGGCACTGACGTGGGCTGAGAGTTCCTCCCGTGTACTCCTGTATGGCTGGCGCCGTCACATGCCTAGCTCTTTTTCACACTGTACGCACCAGCTTCGAAAAGACAAAACTTAGGGGGAAAAAAAAAACAACACAACAAAGTGAGTTTGACTGTGACTCACGCGAAAAATGGGCTCAAGTTGTAATATTGTGAGAAAATGATTTTGACCCAAAAAATAGTCACAAAAAAGTTTTGATCAAAAAGTAAACAATTTTGTAAGATTGCACACTTTTCCTTTGCTCTCTCTCTCTCGTGCCCTTCTCTGGTGCATCCCCAAAAAGACAAAGAACAAGCAAAGCACAGTGAACCATTTAGATCACAGGTGTCAAACTCAAGGCCCGGGGGCCAGATCTGGCCCACCACATCATTTTCTGTGGCCCGTGAAAGCAAATCAAACATGTCAACTGCCATGATGCTTGCTAAAATCTCGACCAAAATTTTAAATCTCATATTTAATAAATAAGAGACATAAGCATTTTCTTGTGACCAAACCCGTCATTACAGTAACATAAACAACAGTTGAATAAAGAGTTATCATTGACTTTTTAAAAATTTGGTTTCGGTCATAACGGCCCTCCAAGGGAAACGGTAACTAAAATGTGGCCCACAACAAAAATGAGTTTGACACCCCTGATTTAGATGCATTTTATATGCATTTTGCAATTTCTAATCAATATTGTCTTTAAATTATTATTGTTGACTTGATGAAGAATCCGAATTTCGTCCTGACAACGGAGCCGATTTCCAAAAGTATTTTTTGCTAAGCTCTTCCCCACCGGTCGCTAGGAGCTGGAGGGAGCGGCGCTCTTCGGGGTGGTGGAGGGCGGGGACGTCCCGGAGGAGAGGTCGCGCTCGGCCAGGGAGACGGCCAAGCGGCCCGTGGCGGGCTTCTGCCTGGACGGACTCCAGTCGGGTCGCCTGAACGGCGCCCTGAGGAGCCAGCTCATAGCCGCGGTCATCAAGGAGCTGCCTGAGGACAAACCCAGGTGAGCAACCAGCATCATAGAATTCCAATCCTAAATTAGTGGTTGGGGAGGCTTCTTATCAATGATTACCTGATTTTTACATGCTTAAAGCAAGTGATTCATGGCTCCTCCACTCACTGAATTAGCCTGCTTGACTGATGAATAATGAATGCGCTCCACTCGAGTCTCTCCACGGTCTTTGCAGCAGCATGGCTTGATTGACAGCTCCACAATACAATTCGTCTGTCACTTCCTGACGTCCAAAACCAGTAGGTTGGGCGAGTTAACGTCCGGGTTGATTTGGTCAATTGTTTGACATGATTTCTTTGAATATGTGCATTTCGAGAGAACAAGGATGTTTTGCTCCTTCCACGAGTGCGCGTATACCGTGTTAATAATGTAAATGATAGTTTCTGGAGTGCTCCAAATCACCCCCCCCGCCTTCCCCCTCCTCTCACGCAATTGGCCTGACGTTTACATGCCCACGTACACGACGTCAACGTGTCTGCATAACGAACCCGAACTAAAGAGGTCTTCACATAAGCCCCATCTGTTCCATTTCTGTTCCAAGGGGGTTTTCAGGAATATGAAATCAGCTGAGTTTTTTTTCTTTTTAATACAATGAAGTAAGAGAGACCCCTCGGGAGCTTCAGAGAGTTACCTGCGCTATACGACGAGAGCGCAGCGTCTCCCTCGAATGCTAAATTGGCCTCGACCTTGACGCCTGCAGCCCGTTATCTGCCAGGCCAGAGAGAGAGCGAGAGCACAGAATGCACTTGTGCTGACAGATTACAGAGAAGTGCTGCTCATGTGTTTATATGCAACGTGTGTGATTTTTTTTTTTTTTTTTGTGTGCGGTGGGGGGAGAAGAAAAAAAATAAAAGTGGAAATATCACCAGGAAAAAAAAAGAAATTTATTAAAGTGGAAATATTGCCAGGGAAAAAAATAAATTTGTATCTACAACAATTAAAGTTGCAATATTACAACAGTCAAGTCATAATTGTAAGCAACAAAAATCTAGTGTCCATTATCGGGAGAGTATGTAATTTTTTTGAGAATTAAGTCACAATTTGACAAGTGTAAAGTCAGAATTAAAAAGCTTAAAGGAATGCCTCGGTTAGGCTGAGGAGCGTCAGCGAGCTTTTTGTTGAGGAGAAAAATAATAGCTGTCAAATGTTGACTTACAACTAATATCACAAGCTAAATTTGTAATTTGTGAAAAATGTTTTTGCATGATACAATATGACTGCAAAGAGAAGAAAATTGGAATTTTGCCAGACAAAATCTGAGTGAATTTTGAAAATTGAGATGAAATCTTACTGAGTTGTTTTTGAATGACAAAATACTATTTCCAAAAAAATTAGACTTAAACAGAATAAATTTGAAAATTTAAAAATTCATATTTTTATGGATTAGGATTGATTTAAAATGTAATTAGGAATTAATGAGTTGTTAATTGGAGGTGAAAAAGGAAGTTGTAAAATTTAAAAAAAAGTTATTTTATGAGAATAAATTCTGAATTTGTTTAAAAAAACTATTCAATAATTTTATAAGAAATAAAAAAAAAATATTTTTTTTTCTACAAAAATAGAAAAGTAGAAATATTACAAGAGAAAAATTCTTCACAGGGATAAAATTGGAATTTTGCAAGCGTCTTTATTTTCAAAATAAAGACGCAATCGTAGGAAAAAGGAGAATAAAGCTGTAATATTCTGCAAAAATGCTCATGATTTAACCAGAAGGCGTTATTATGTAGTAAAAGTAAAAAAAAAAAAAAAACAGCTGTTTTATGCCCCGTGTCGCTAGTTGCTGTTGATGGTGATTGTCGGCTGCACTTGTAGGCTTCTGCAGGGTGTGGGTCGACCAGACGAGGTGCTGGCGTGCGTGGAGGCCGGCGTGGACCTGTTTGAGGGCTTCTTCCCCTTCCTGGTCACTGAGCGAGGCTGTGCCCTCTGCTTCCGCTTCGACACGGCAATCGACCCGGAGAGCGGCGATGGGACGCCCCCTTCAGGTGGGAGGACTTTTTCCTTTTGTAGGATATATTTTCCATATTCCATACGATATTATCACGATATGAACCTCACGATGTGATAATGATCATAATATTGTGAGGAAGCTGGCGATCTTAAAAACAAGCTCATGATACCAGCGCACACATTGTGAATCGGGTCAATCTGCAAAGGAACTCAAAACGTGTTACGTTCCCCTTTATCTGACGATTGGCGTGGATCTTAGGTGGCCAAAACTTTTGATATATTTGTGTTCTGTTTGATTACGTGAATACGATACGTTACAACAATACTAGATTCCATATCATAACAACTTTTTTTGAAATGTTTCATATACGTTGTCCTTGTGGATCTTGAGCTTTTATTTTTACTTTGTAAAAAAGCTCTTAAAAAAAAAAAAAGCAACTTCGCACTTCTGTCTTGAACACTCCGGTTTTATCTGGTTAAAGCCAGATAGATTTTTTTTATTTTTTATGCAAGCACGTCTGTCACGCTGCGGAGTCCACATTTTACTGGCAAAATTACCCTTTTGTTTCCCTTCGGCGGTGTGACCTGCTTCACTAAAATATCAACCTCACACACACACACACACACACACACACACACACACAAAACCATATGCATCCACTGGATCTAAAATGGAGGACAAAAGGTTAAAAGCAAATTGGTGACATTTGTACCATTGCGGTTCTCTCAATCCTCCTTTTGATTCGTTTTTTTTCCCACCAGAAAGCGTGATAAAGCAAGTCAACCTCAAAGGAGATCAGATCGCGGCGTCTGCCCCATGACTCCTTGTCAGTCGGCTCACATTTGACTTCCAATGACTTAACTGCCAGTATGCAAGACATCGGTTCACGAGTCGGCCATTATGCCTAGAATAACGGTAAACAATATTAGCAGCACACTCAGCTCGCTAATATTTTCATGTGTACGATAGCATGTATGACCCAAGGACATTAAGGTTGCGACTTGCTTCTTTTTCTGGCCTGGTTGATGAAACTATCTCACAAGATGAATCAATAATCATGCCAAAATTTGTATAATATAAAAGTAGCCTATATTGGTCACGTAGGCATAAAAAGCAGGATTACAGCAGATCAACTGTTTAGGTAACACACCTCTTCTGATGTTGCTGGTCGCCATTGAATTTACAGAGATCCGCCATGTTCATGAGCCTCGACATTGTTTTGAGACACGCTAATCTCATCCAAAAGAGAACGCTGCCATAGGAACGCCATAGTTAGTTTTTTATATATGTTGGCCAAGACTTTCCTCCACTGGTTACCATAGAGACCCCCCCCCAACTCAAAAAAAAAAAAACTGCACTCCTTGTTAGGATCGCCGTCAATGGCGTTCAAAGAGTTGGATCAACGCAAAGTTCCGCAGCCCAAAGCCCCAATGTCATCCTCTCATTTAAAAGTAATTGGAGGGAAAAGGAAATTCAGCGGTGGAAGTAAAGCAATGATGCCTAGTTACCGTTGTCCACTGAAGTGAGAAAGCTTAAGAGTTATGACAAGGTCCCGAGCCTTTTCATTGAGAGAAAAAAAAAAAAGTTGCGTTAAACTCGCCCAACGTGAGAGTCATGTCAAGATGGTGCTAATCGATTCCGCACTGGCAAACGTAATGGAGGTGAGAGCAGACCGGCCGGTGTTCAAAATGAATTCCCAGTCCCCCTTCAACCAATTACAAGCAACCCCGCCAGAGGCCTCGGGGTACGGGTCCTGTTTGACACAGCGGAGCGTATGGTAATGGGGCCCCTGCTCGCTCTCCACCGCCGTAACTTCTCTTTTCATCATCGGGGCCCGCTCACTCACCGTCGCTCTCGGGGTCATTGCTCTTTGACGGAGCGTTGTCGTCAGTGCTGTTCGATACCGTCAGATTTGCTATAAGTCCAAGCGCACCGAGGAGAAATGAAAGTTCAAGGTATAGTAACGGTACAGTGTTGATGAAGCAAAAAAATACAATTCGAAAGCCGCATGAGTCAGCATCTCTTGACTCCCGGTCAAACGAAATAGCGCTGCTGCTCCTTAAAATCAGTTTGGAATACATGGTTGTATCAAAAGGTGCTTTCAATTATTAACCTCTGGCTTTAAATTGCACCGAACAGACAAAACGGAAGAAAAAGCACGTCAAGCTTTCTTGGCCTGAATTGATACTGCAGAACCGAGTGCTCCATTTGCATTTAATTCTTAGATATGGTGTACAGCGGAAATTTGTGCTTTTATGGTCAGGGATGCCCCCCCGCCCCCAAAAAATCTCAAATGAGTGCAATGACAACACGCAAGTAAACAAATAATAGAAATATCCCAGTCATGCACCTCGACAGCAAAACCAAAAAAAAAAAATCTGAATTGTCGCTTAAAGCACTCAGCCGGTAATCTGGTGCGCTCTTGTCTTGAACGCATCAGCTCCATTTCAAACAAACAGAACGCGTTGCCCGCCGTTCTTTTTTCACCACTTTGCCTGCGACAGATAAAACGAATCGAGCAGCTATCGGCTGCATCTGTGTAATCCGTATCGACACCATCTGGCAGCGCCATTTTCAGCTACATGTCACGTAATGAATAAATAATGGTGACAAAAATACCGGTAAGTGAAATAATACGCTTCTAAAAATAAACTCCTCACCCCTAATAAAGACGTGAATGCTCAGGTGTGATTCATGAGGCATTTGTTTTTTTCAAATAAAGTTTTTACACAGTGGGTTAAACAAATGCGACCCTCTTTACTTGTTTATTTGTACAATTTATTAACGCCTTAAACCAACAGCCGCATTCTCCTCTCCATAGTGCAGTCAATAAAGGTCCCCTGCTACTATGCAAGTACTTTATTAAGTGCAAAATAAAATCATCGCCTCCATTAAATGAACCCAACGCACGCCTTTGCTTGTCTGAACTCGATTACCAACAAGTAATTTCGTTCTATGAGCTGTTGAGGCCATGTCGCGTAATAGGGGTCAAACGATGTTATGTTTTGGCATTTCCTTGTCACCGCCGGCGCTGACAGAGAGGGGGGGGTCGTGCTTCTGCGGATGTGCTCGGAAATGAGCTGATGATGAGGATTAATGAGGGGTCTGCTTTTGTTTGGGTAGAAAGCACAGCAGAACCGAATGGAGATCACCATCCTGATGACCCGACTCGCATGACCTCCTTCGAGATGGATCTCAAAGACAAAAGGTAAGACCAAGCAGGGGTACTTGTACCTTCCATATTTAGGACAGGACAAAGGAAAAAAAAAATCAACAAGCGTGTGGTTGTTGGTCTCATCGTGTGCAGTGTATGCGACTTGACCAACGCAACACACCACATATAGAGCGGTCTCTTCACTGAAAGGCAGCTCTCCACCGCAAACCGGATGTCTGTTGTAGTACCAAGACTGACCTGTGAGGGGCATCATAGTATCTCAAGGCATCCAGACTGCCAGAAAATATATAGAAGAAGAGTGGTAGATTTCCGCCTTGCCCATTTTCTGAGCAACCTGAGGAGGGAAAAAAAAAGACTCTTGCCACATCGCACACGAAATGCAAACTGCTCAGGATGATCGTTTCGAGAAATCTGTTACTTTAGTTTTTCCTGACTTTGACTGTAAATGGGTTTGAAAAAAAAAAACAAACAAACAATATTGGTATGTGTGTTATCCCGCTTTAACTATAGTGCAGGTTTAGCATTTACAATCATCTGCTCGGAGCAGATTAGGGAGGAAAAAAAAAATCACTCCCAACACATCCCATGCTATAAAATAATCACCCAGGATGATCTTTTCAAGACATCCACCAAAACTTCCCTTTGCTGACTTTGATCGGAAACTGGAACGAATGCTTCAAATGAATTAGTGCCTCCTGAATTGGCTATCGTGCCATTTCACGTCCCAGCCACAACCCGCCCATGGCTCCGTTGTCCCAAGTGATTTACTGTCTCCGCGGACTGTCCAGGTACCGAGACGACTTCCGGCCCCTGGTGGAGGGGTGTGGCTGCTACTGCTGCCAGAACCACAAGAGAGCGTACGTGCACCACCTGCTGGCCACCAATGAGCTGCTGGCAGGGGTTCTGCTCACGCTCCACAACACGGCGCACTATCTGGCCTTCTTCGCGGCCCTCCGAGAAGCCCTGGCTGCCGATAAAGTGGACTTCTTGAAAAGGCGGGTCCTCGGTCAGACGGAAACAAGTACCTAAGGATGGAATGGAATCAAATGGAAGAGATAGATTGAGCCCGGAGGAGAGGTTTGTGTGAACAATCAACCCGGGCTCTTTTTGTCACGGATCAGCAGATTGACTCTGCCTCCATATGGAGGCAATCAAAAAGTTAAGGCTAGGTTATCTTCTTTCTTCTTGCTGGCGTCCCCGGCAAGTACCGCAACTTTGTCCACATGCTCTCCATGACGTCTTTTGTTTTTGTTTTTTTTTTTTTTGCAGTGTACGGTATTGATCGCATTTGTACAAATGGTGGGGATTACTATCGATTGCCCTCGCCTCTTGCACTGTACGGTACATGGAAGGTGAATCATGTCTTGGAATCAAAGTTTGCCCCAGTGGCCCCTCTCCTTAAAAATTGAATTTGTTGCGTTATCACAAAATCGATAAGATAAGAAAACGTTTATTTGTCTCACAATGGAGAAATTCGCAAATTCGAAATTGCATTCATCTCTTCTAACACCCCAAAACCCAACACAGTCTTCTTTGTTGATAACATAACACACCATATTATTGTACAAAAAAAAAAAAACTTACTGTAATAACACGACGATTAATTATTGTGCAGTTCTTGTTATGCGGCCCTTGGCCACTTGGGGGCAGTATATTACAGACAGGGTTACCTATGGTGACGGTCACTCAGTGAGAAGCAGTCATATTTGTCGTTTTTCACAGAGGATAAATAATACATGTGCGTCAATACAAGGTTTGAAATATAAAAAAAAATGTTTTTGTTTTTCTTTTTTGGTCCCTTGCGTCAGCAGCATTTTCTGCAATTTTTTTCAGCACATCAAGCGTGAATGGTGATTTTTCGTTGGCCCTTGGGGTTGGACTCGGCACCGTTCTAGCTTGTTATCAGGCCAGTAAAAAAAATTTCCATGAGAATTTGTTACAAAATGGGTCAAACTTTGATTTATGTTGTCGGTGTCGTGGTTGACATTACAAAACCGTAATTGTTTTGTCATGCTTTTGTTCTTGTTCATCCGCAACAAAATTTAGATGCTAGCTGCTCTTGTGGCTCTCAACCGATGTGTTCAAAATGTACTGGACAGTCCACAATCTGTGTATGCCTGGTGACATCCAAATATGCGTCATTATTATTATTATTATTATTTTTTTTTTATAATTGAGAAATGTTTGACCTTTTCTCAACGTGCACAATCAATAAAGCATGAAGTGTCATACTCTTCGAGCCCGGAGGGCCTCAACTGAGCACCTTTCTGGTTTGTTCGATTTCTATGAAACAGACGTGGGACAAGGACAAAGCCATCAAATGTTGGTATGATTCGTATGTGGTTAAGCAATTTTTTTTTTTTTTTTTGGGAGACTTTTCCCTTAATTTCGCCGTCATAAATGAATGAATCATACACTCCAATTATGATTAAAAGCTCATCTCCCCATTTTTTTTCGGTAGCCTATTTTGATTATTTAATGACGGACGGACACACCACATTTTGTAATGTTTAGACCTTGCACAATTGTCTGCTTTCACGGTTTGTTTTTGAATGTCTTGATGTGTGGCGTGGGCAGATGTGAGTGTGTGTAGGTCGCCAGTCTGTCATTGTTTTGTTTGCATTGAAACGACTCCACCCCACCAGGCCCCACCCCTGAAAGGCATATTTATTTACACAGGTACTGCTGTACATATAATATTTTCTCTTCCTTTTTTGTGTTCAGTTACGATTAAAATCTGAACAAATTTTAAAATAATGTTTCTCTTGATCTCAGATTTTTACCAGGCTCTGGAGGGCGAGTCTATTTCCTTTTTCCATAGCTGCAAGCTGCAATTGATGTGGTTTATCCGATGCTTCGGAGTTTATCCTTTTTTTTTTTTTTTTTTGAGGAGGCCCATTTATAATTTTTTTATTTTTTTAAAAATCATCCCTCGACGCATTATCCAAGTTGTGCGTCACAGCTGGTATGGCCAGTTAGATACAGTGTGGTCATCCAGCCTGCATACTGAGTGCCGTTGTCCTTTCTCTTCTGCAAAGAAATCGGCAACATGTTACCTCATGCTCTTGATTTATTGTTTCCCCCCCTACACGCCTTCCGTCTTCCTTACAGTGTAATTTGTTCCCTGAATGTTTCCAGCGCCTCATTTAGGGTTCAAGCTGACTCGGTGCCATTTTGAAATAGTAGACATTTCCCGCAAGAGGAGTGTAGGGCACCCGTCGGGTTTATATTTTATCGTATTTTATATACATACTGTATTTTTATGACCATACGCGGCACCGTATAAAAAGGCGGAGTGTCAGTTATGGGCACTATTTCTATATTTAACATGTACACAAGACGAGTTGTGTTATTGTATGTATATAGCGGGTCAAGAGTACTGTAGTCTCAAAGTGCTGGCCGGTGCATGATGTCAATGGGATGGGCCTTGCCAGTGGCTGACGACAGTTCCAAAATTAGCCGGGATAGGCTGACCCTATTGAGGTCAGCCGCTATGGAAAATGGATGAATGAATGTTTTTTATCTTCGGCGTGCGTGCCCGGGTGCGTGAGAGAGACAAAGTACAACAGCAAGCACTGAGGAAACATGTTGGAATGAGGTCATGCGCTGCGGCCAAAAGTTTCCCTGGTTTTGCATGGCGCCTTGTCCAGAACATGCTGCCTCGTCTGGGGAATTTTGTTGAAAATGTGAAACTAATTTCAGACACAACGAGTGCATGAAAGGGTTTCTGTTGACACCCCTCCCGCCCTGCCTCGTGAAGCTGTGTTGCCTCGTAGGTGGGCTTAGAGGTTGAAGTTGAGGGAAAGGTCAGCGGTGTTGTCTCTAGCAAGACACGAGACAGATGAAAAGGCCGTGAGCATTTGGCCTTTTTGTTGATGAGAATCGTCTTTCTGGAATGAGTGCGGCTAAAGTGGGGTGCACAAACCAATTTGTAACATCAGATTTTGAAAATCTATGATACTGGATAACTGGGATATCAACAGAATGCCATTTACAAGATAAAAGCAAACTCGCTTCGTCAAAATGAACTGATATCTTCTGTATGGTATCATGATACACCTGATACATTGCTGTTATGTTGATAATGGGATGTATCATAGACACCGTTGTGATATCGTTTCACAGTGCGATGGATTATGTTATCGATCTGGTGCCGTTGTGTTGATTGTATCCTGATATTGTGATATCAACGGATGACCATAGCCGATACGATAGGAAAACTTTGATTTCAATGATATGATAGCACAGTACTGCCAATACCTCAAAATACCCCCGATATCCTCACAAGACCATGTATTCTACATAATTATCAGTATGATATCGCTGTTATATCATTGCTATTATGATGTATCAGGATTTTGTTGATATGATTGTCATCGGCGATGCGCTATGCAAATCCATTGTTGACTACAATATTGTGAAACTGTTGTGTTATTGTTTGCTTTGGATTGTGATATTTTTAATTATTTGGTGGTATCGTGATTATGGTCATAATGATGTGATGTTCTCATAGATAGTGTGACATTGATTGAAATATCACAGTAGCATATCACGAGTTGCCATGTTGTCCGCTGCGTCATGGAATTCTCCCTGCAAACAAGCAGCTTTAAAAAAAAGAAAAAAAGAAAAAATCTTGTAATGATGGTTTCCAAGAGCCTATCAGTCAACCGTAGCATCATCAACAATGCGGCTGACATCAATAGAGCGTGATTGCAGGGTGTGGAGAGCGTTGATGAGTTAGGACCTATCTGATGAAACTGCAAAGATACTCTGGGAAAAACATTGCTGCTTCCTGCCAGTGATGATTCAACTAGAGGAAAGTATACACCAGAGGAAAGTGGCGTTAAATAAAGCTGGGGAAAATAGCTGCAGATTATCAAGCTTCTTTGACAAAACATCGAGCAGATTGGTTGGAGTCCATTGATTTTTCTTCGTTTCTGTCTTTTCAGTTGTCGAGCCTCATTATGCAAATGACAGCAGCTCCGATTGGTCTGCTTATCTGAGAGTGACAATTCACCTGTTGGATTCACATTGGGAAGATGGTCGACAGACGGTTTTGTTGTGATATTGTGATGGACGGTGTCCTGATGACTTCAGAGATACTGTGATGGGTCATTCGTGATGCCGTTGCACTTTTATTGTCGACACCATTGCTACGATATCATTAATATTGTGACATATCAATATGGTATTCTGGTGTATCCTATATGGTATCACGATAATATTGATATTGAGCCGAGGAATTCTCTACCGCTTTGCTCCTGTTCCCTTGTCTCCTTAAGCCAGAAAGTAATCCCATATCACCATCTCTTCACCTCATCCAGAGGGGAATGTTTTGATATTTAATCTTGGTGATGGAGTCAAACTCTGCTGTCAGCACAGTCGTGCTTTGGCCTTGCTGATGAAAAGGCTGCCGAGAAAGCAGCAGTATATGAAGAACACACGAAGCCCGCCTCCGCAACCCCCGCCCCCCATCCCTCCCACTTTGCATCTGTTTTCAAATACACGCAGCTCCGTGTTCATTTCAGATGTATAGCATGGACCTCGAGCAGACCCAGAGCTGATAAGCAACGCCGCAGTGACACGCTTAAGTTTACTGACGCAGATCATGTGCTTGCAATATTCTCTTTGTTTTGCTTCATCAAGGTTAACTAAAGGTTGAGTTGTTGGTCAAAATTTGTTTTTCAGCAATCTCCAAAGCTATCTATCTATCGCTTGTGGCCTATTCCTTGTCCGATAATGTTGATCCATGTGCAATACCCAAGAGAATATCTTGATTTTTATGACTGTCATATAACCGGAGATGGGATGCCATTTGAAGCATAACCTCCTTGGAGGTTTATTCACTTTTATTATTTTTCTTCAACACACTATAAAGCATTGTAATGTTCCAAGTTAAAAAAAAAAAAATTTTTTTCTTTGTATCATTTGATTGTTCTTAAGAGAGTTTTTCCGACTTCATTTTCATTGAGAGGGTTCATTGTTGTGATAATTATAGCACCAACGTATTATCACTGTACTTATTATACGGTTCTATAATTATTATTGCTCCAAGCTAGCTAGTGTCACTTTTGACAGGCAATTAGTTGCACTGCTAATTCAAGCAGAGGGGGGTTGAACTTTGACAACCTACTCTTGCACTTGGATGGCCCTTGGTCAAGTGAAGACCTCTGCCAGGGCTAAGCTATGCTAATAGTTCAGTGGGGAGGCATGTATCATCTCTGACCTAGTTTAAAAAGTGCACAAAAAAATCGACGAGAGCCATTTCTGTGTGTGTACCATATTAGTCACATTATTATGCGTCCGTGATCTATCAATGATTCCATCCGCGATACATCAACTTACATCTGATATCTCAAAAGCATTTACTGGTGTGTTATGTTATGGAAGATACACCATGACAGTACATTACAATCTATCATATATCATCACGGTATCACGATACCATCCAATTCATTACTGGAGATATTAAAGTTACAATGTAATTTATGATGCCTACCAATATGATATCTAATAGTGTGATACCATCTATGATACAATGCATCTATGCTATGGCGAAACGTCATTACAAAATTGCATTAGAGATTGCAATACCGTACGTCAGTGGAGCTATGATATCACGATAACAACTTCGATCCATTACGTCACGGGTGTCAAACTCATTTTTGTCACGGGACACTTTGGAGTTACGTCTTCCCTTGGAGGGCCATGATGACAGTGAAACCACAAAAACGTTTAATCGTCTTATCACATTATTACCTGTACACAGACACGCACAAAAAAAGGATTACTAGTTTTGAAATCAGCCAACTATAATAGTTTGTTCAATTATTGTTCAAATGAGTGTAAACTGGGTAAAAAATATTAGTGCAAAATCTCAACGTTATTTAAGACACATGACAATTTGACATTTCACATAATTTGCTTTCACCGGCCACATAAAATGACCTGGCGGGCCGGATTTGGCTCCCGGGCCTTGAGTTTGACACCTGTGCATTACGTTAAATCATAGTATTATGATACCATCTACAATATTGCCAAAAAAAAACAAAAAGTCCTCTCATATTTTTTCTGATGTAGTGCTGTGCAATCATCTCCCTTCTCACGGTAGATTGACAGTTGTCACGGACCGTTGCCTTGGCAACACCAAGCCCAGCCAGCCCCATGATTTATTTAAAAACTCAGGCAGTAGCTGAGCATGAGAGCAGCTGCATTTTGTCTGGCGTTGTTTGAA